TCTTTGTCTCCTTCAGGAAAGCGCACAAGCATCGAAGAGTGACTTGTTGTGTGGCTGACTTTGTTTACAGTAATTTATTCTCTGAGTAAAGCATTTCCAGTGGAGAAGGAAATGGCAACCCACTCCAGTATTCTTGCCTAGAGAATCCTGTGGATGGAAGAGCCCGGTGGGCTGCTGTCCATGGGGTCGCACAGAGTCGGACACGACTGAAGTGACTCAGCAGCAGCAGCAAGGTTCACAGAGAAGGTGAGAGGAAGGGACAGAGATTACCAGGCACCCACGCACGTTGTTGTTGTTCTGTCACTAAGTGATGTCCGACTCTTTGTGACCCCATGAACTTTAGCACACCAGGCTTCCCTTTATGGACACCCCCCATTATCAACATTTCCCCCTGATGTATTTGCTCTGTTTGCTAGAATTGACACATCATAATCACCTCAAGTCCATGACTTGCATTACACTTCACTCTATGGATTTGAGCAAATGTATAATGACATGTGTCTATCATTATGGTATCATACAGTCTCGGCTCCTTTTATGAAGCATGGTATTAAGAGACCAAAGTCTGTATCTTCAGTGTGCTCATAGCTACTGGGACATCACTGCATGGAAATCCACTCAGAGCACAGAACCAAGAAATGTATATAACATTACATAATATATATTTACTAGTATTTGTACTTAATATCTGATATGTATTACATGTGATATTTGTAGACATACATATGCAGTTGAACTTTGAACAACATGGCTTTGAACTGCATGGGTTCATTTAGACTTTTTCAATAAATATCTACTATAGTGCTAGATGATCTGAGGTTGGTTGACTCCAGGGATGTGGGACCATAGATATGAGGGCTGAACATAGTCAGCTTTTGGACTGCATGGAGGGGGTGTGTCAGTGCCTCTAACCTGCTACATTGTTCAGAGGTCAACTGTATATATTTTTAAATCTGTTTATGTGTTTAAAAATGAGTTCCTAATGATAGCTATAGTTCCGATCCAAGACCTCAGGTTTCTTCCTAGCCTTCCCATTTTCCACATTAGTATTTTCTCCAACAATGGGAAATCTGGTCATCATTATTCAATGTAATAAATTGTCCAACCCCACCAGTCTTCCCCTCTCTCTGCCACCTGCTTGCCTCTCCCTTCAGCACCCATGTTCTTGCCCATATTACTGTTGTGTCTCATCACAGGAAAGGAAGAGAAATGGAATAGAAAAATAGAAGGGAAGATGAGATAAGAGGAAAAGGAAAACAGGAAGGAAGGAGGAAAAGGAAAACATTAATGTTAAGATAATGTCATAAACTACCTTCAATAATTTGTAGACGTTAATAATGTTAAACTCATAGCCAGGCATTTTGCTTAATAACTGTATCTATACTTGATCAGCAGCAATTCTGTGCAACTGTTGCAAAGTCTTGGGTTTCTCTATAAACATGGGCTCACAGTAAAAAGTTGAGAGTGTAATGGCAGTGTTAAAGAGCATGGTTGTTAATGGGAAATAGGTGAGGTTTAAAAATCAGAGGTTTGGAGTCAGAGAGACCTGTCCTTTAATTTTGGCTCCTCTTCTACAAAATGGCCAAAAGCAAGTTACTTACCAACTGTGAGTCTCAGTTTCCTTATCTACAAAATGGGTATAATATTTTCTTCACAAGATTGCTATTAATGTTCATTCATAATAGGGATTAGGGTTAATTATTGTTATTGTTAGTGTGTTAGAGTTAGTGCTCAAAAATTTATACTGTTGTCTTCCCACACAAGCTCTGTTGATCATTTTATTGCTATATGGAAACCCAGAATTACTATAGTATTCTCATGGCAGAGTAACACACACACACACACACACACACACATGCACTCAGGCTAGAACCACATATATGCCATACCTTCAAGTATCTCTTTTGACTAAACTTTTTCTCAGGGTGAAATTCTGTATGAATTCTAACTGATTTCCTTGGATAAAAGTGTGGTAAATGAAAATATTCCTTTACAATCTTGGTGTCCTTGTTTGAAAACAATGAGAATTTTAACTATAATGCCTACCTATAGTTTCATTCTCCTTTTTCTCCTGGGAAATGCTTTTTCTGCACTTCAGTAACCGAGTTCAATGGCAGCGTATATATTCTTACAGACCCTCATCATTGGGTTCAGGGATGTGCACCTCGCTGGATCAATTAACTATCCTTCGCTGAGAATTACTGACTTGGAGCTGGAGAGCGTCACCCTTAGCCGGTCTGATGGTGAAGCTGAAGATATGACCTTAAAGCCATCACTCCCCAGCCACGTGGAGGAAGCTGGTCTGACAGCAAGAAGCTGATGTACAGAATGAAGCAGAGCTGAGGGGTGCGGGCAGAGAGAGGACTCTAGTTCCAGCAGCTCCGGAGGCCCACTGGACCACTACGCTTGTCACAGTTTGTTCATGTCAACAGTACACTCCTCCCTCTTGCCTACTGGCTTAGTCGGGTTCCTGTCAATGGTTAACTGCATCCAATGTCTGAGTGACTTTATTTCCAAGGCCCTGTTGTAAGGACCACTTACATAGTAAGGCGCATAGTAAGGACTCAGCAGATGTTGGTTGATTACTCTTATCCTTTTTTCTTTTTAAATTCATCTGTATTTGTTACAACTTTTTAAAGCAGAATGTGACTTGAGCACTACATTTCCATTCACAAAACTTGCTCCAAGTTACTTTTCCAGCGGCTTTACAACATGCCTGAGCAGGCTTATAATTTTGCTACTCTAGGATCTCCCTCTGAACATTTCCGGTGAGATGTTGCAACAAAGCAAAATTTTGGAAGTTATCAGGAAGACTTTGGCCAAAAAGTACTCTTATCTTTAAACGTCAAAGGCTGAATGAAAAAACATTGCGGCAGTTCTTAATTCTTGAAGTAACTTTCCTTGGAGCACCACAAAAAGACATAAAGACAAAAGTGGGGAGCCCTCCACCCACACCACATATACCCACATCCCTCCAATCCTAACTCTGTTCTACTGCTCGGAGGTTCACATAACTGCGCTGACAGACCGCTAGCATGTCCCTCAGTAAATCTCTAAGTCTACCTCTCAGAATCCTCCCTCGTTTTGCTGTGACACCTGAGACTGGATCTGAACTGGTGGTGGTGAACTGCGCCCCTGGTCTGAGCTGAGTGAGATGTCCCCTGCCACAGGCCTTAGAGGGGATGCGTCTGCTCTATGTGTTGGGTGGAAAGGCTAGGGACTGAGGTATGAGCCTCCTTCAGATACAATTTCTTGGGAGACAATATAGTCCAAACATATTTAAGGAAAAGTTTAAATACGTTCAATTCTCAAGGTCAGCCCTTGAAATTAGTGGGCCTCCATTATTGCGTCAAGAATTTGAATTCTTTCCCACCTTGGGCAACATGAGTGACTGGAAAAATCAATGGCATTAGTCTTCAAAGGTTTCTTTCTGCAAGGCTTCCATTATCTTTAATCTAAGTCTCATTCTGATTGGTGAGGCTTGCAGGAAGCGGGGATCTTCCCAATTCCTTCACTCTCACAGATGGAAAAAGTATTGCTAGCATTCTTGAATTTATTTTTGCAATTCATTTACATAGTCTTTAAAATATATCATCTTGGTATTACCGACATCTCTAGTTCTACTCAGGCAATTCAAAGATGGTGACATAACTTGTATTTTCTAAATAGGTTTTTTTTTTTTAATTGGAGTATGGTTGATTCACAATGTTGTGTGACAGTTCTTCCTTTAGAGTAAAAAGCAGGAATTACAGTGAGGAAAGGTGTGTGCTGATGGAGGCAGGGCTGTCTTTCATCAGGCAGAAGCAATTCACCTCTGGCCAGGTAAACATCCACGGCTCAATGTATCAAGCCATGTGCACATCTTGTCGACTAAAAAGATGTAATCACAACCTGAAAGTAGTTATTTGGTGGGAATGTTTAGGACTGGGAGCCCAGGAGACAGCGTCTCAGTAGCTCTGAGAAAACTGCTCCAAAGAGGCACGTGGGGGAGTCAGGCTATATACAAGTTTGCAACCAAGGGAACACGCAGTCTGAACATCAAAGATCAGGTTATCAAGTTAAGGAATTTAGTATTCCAGGTGTGGGAAGATGCAAGCCTCTGGGCTCACTGAATTCATTCCTTTCACATGCACATCAGCTATGAGGGACGGAGCGGGGTGGGGTGGGGTGGTGGTGGTGGTATCAACTCCGTTTTCTTATTCACTTTGCATTCCTCCAGCTCCTCAGCAATCAAAGGTGGGCTTGGGGTAGCAACATCCAGTGGATTGCAGTTTGGGATTCATATTTGGAGGCCAGAAATCGCTGATGGCTGTGACACTTCATAACAAAGTGAGTGAAGTCGCTCAGTCGTGTCCGACTCTTTGCGACCCCATAGACTGTAGCCCACCAGGCTCCTATGTCCTTGAAATTTTCCAAGCAAGAGTACTGGAGTGGGTTGCCATTTCCTTCTGCAGAGGATCTTCCTGACCCAGGGATCAAACCCATGTCTCCTGCATTGCAGGCAAACGCTTTACCATCTGAGCCACCATGGAAGTCCCGTTAATAACAAGGCAGGAGGCATTTTCACTTCACAGTCGGAACCAATTTCCCTTAGAGGCGGATGTTACAGCCTCCAGCCTAAGCATATTGAAGCGGTCCTTCCAGTCAAATGAAGAAGTCTCCTTGGGGAAGGATCTCGGTAAAGTTAGCCTTTCTCATATTAATAATATTTTAGCACTTCCTCAAAACGTGCATCAGAACCGCCCACAGGTGTAGGACAAAAATGCCCATTCCTGGACCGACTCCGGACTCGCGGCACCGGAGTCTCGGGCAGGAAGAGGGGAGTGGAGCCGGGCGCAGAACTGTCTTTTCACAGGCGCCCAGGTAGCTCTTCAGCCCCGAGGCCCGCCTGCGTGGTGCACCGCGGTGCGGCGGCGGGTGCTGGGCTCGCTCCTGCTGCCCTCCTCGCTTGGCTCTGTGCTGTCTTTGTCGCCGCCCCCCCGCCTCCCATCTCGGTGTCATTAGAGTTCAGCTCCTTCTAAGGTTTCAGCCTCTCCGGCCGCACAGCCCTCTGGACAAAGCCCAAGTGGCCCGCGGCCGACGACGGTGGCCACCCCGCGGCCTGCGGAGGGAGTCGGGGGGGTTAGGGGGAATGTCCCGCAACGCCCCCGCGGCCGCCGCCCACTGAGCATGCGCACCGCGGAGATGCCGGAAGTGACGCCACACGTCGCGGAGGCGCCCCGCCCCTTCCGCCTTCACACCCCGCCCAGGCCTCGCCCCTCCGCTCTCCCCGCCCCTCCCCCTCCCCTCTCTCGCCTGCTTTCTGTCAGCCTCTCTCCCTCTCCCTCTCCCCCCTCTCTCTCTTCCTCTCTCGCACCTGAGCACACGCACCTGCCCGGGCCCGGCTCCGCTCCCTCCTCCTTCCTCCCCGTCCCTTCCCCTTCCCCGCCCCGGCCGGAAGGCTCCGGCCTCGGCCGCTGGAGCCTCGCGGCTGCGTCACCGCCGCCCCCCCAGACAAGATGGACACCGCAGAGGAAGGTAAGTCGGCGGCGCCCGCGCCCTGTGCTTGCGGCGCCCACGTTCGGGTCGGGCCCGTGCAGGTTCCGTGCGGCGCTCGAGGAGGGCGGTGGGGCCCGTGCGGCGCGTGAGGTGGCGGGGTAGGCGGGGGGCGCCTCCACTCGGGGCAGGGGCTCGCGGTGACAGCGTTGCGAGCGGGCGGGACCACGGCGGGGCCGGCGCCCGGGCCGTTTGCCCCACTGAGTAGCAGGGCGCGAGGGGCGGCGGGGAGCATGAGGGGGACCCGTCGGCGCCTCCAGCCGTTCCCCGCCCGCCCGCGCGGGTCGAGGGCCGGGGGCGTCGGGCTTGGGTGGGCGGCGTGGCTCCCCGACCCCCGCCCCTCCACTCCGTCCCGCCAGTCCCGTTGGGCGACGGCGCGGTCGTCGCGGCTCTAAGTCTGAGGGGTCGTTTTGTACGCCCTTCTCCGGCCCCCCCCAGCACCCCCCCCCCCCACACACACGGTTTTGTCCGTCTTTTAACGTCGCTTCGCCCAGCCGCTCGAGCGGCCCGATCCCTTCGCGACGAAACTTCTTTGTTGACTCTGAAACTTCGCGAAAAACACCTCGCCAGGTGACGGCCGACTGACCCCTGTTTGAAGCCCTCCCTCTTGCTTGCGTGCCCCCCACCGGTAATTTGTTTACAGACGAGGAAGGAGCAGGCCCAGCGAGGTTATTCGAAGCTGGAAGGCTCTGAAGAGACTCCTTTTGTTTGGGTGCAGTTTATTTTGTGCTCAGCCCCTGACACCGATAAGCAGAGTTTGTGTGTATGTTTTGCCTGGTGAGTGCGTGTGCTTTGACACCAGCTGACTCGTAAGCAGAATACAGAAGTGAAGACACAACTGAACATCTGTGGCTATTGACATGCATTCGCTTTATTCAGTGAAGGTAGTTAAGTTGTTTTTAAGCAATTTTATCTTCCTAGAGTCTATCGAATAATGAGTGAGTGTATAGATGAACTTATTAACTTGTTTCTTGTTTCGATTATCAGTGAAGATACATTTATGCTTGAGATAGCTTACGTGGGGATGTGATAAGCATCTTTCAGCCTTTCAGATTGTGACTGTTGGTGATTTTAGGTGAAGATCGTTGAGGACTGTCGTGGTATGCAATAATGAGTGGTAGAAAATATGATATTGTCCATATATGTAATGAGTGGAGGGGATCAGTGTATCATTTTTAAAAGAAGTCTTTCCTTGGATAATAAAAGAACTTCAGCTGTAGTGATATTTGCATGTTATACTTGACAGTTTACAAAGCATAGTTACATGCCTTCACATTTGATCTTACTAAGAGCCCTGTGGAGTAGGTAGGTATTATTATCTTTTACAGATGTAAAGTTATTGGTAGTTATTTTAGTTATCTTGATAGTTTGTCCAGGTTTCACACCCGAATGAGAGAAAGATTTAAACCTAGGTATCCTAATTACAAATAGTTTTCCTTTCATTGTGTTTCGGCTGTTTCTACTAGGTACTATGAGTGAAAGGTAATTGCGACCGTAGACTCCTTTGGAAACAGTCAAGCGAAACTGCTGAGGAGATTAAGAATGACTTTTTTTTGGACAAGTGGTCCTAGTGTGTAAATTTCTGTCTACATCCGTACACCTTTTTGGGTTCAAATTTTAATGACTCAACCTAGTAATACGTGTGTTTATTGACTTATCACCTGATCTATACCGGCATGTTTTATTAAGTTCTCATTCTTTGAGCTTATGTACTAAGTACCTGCATACACTTACGGTATGATAGTGGTGATTCAGGAATTGCAGAATCTCAGTCTATGTGGAATGGTGGAGGACATATTTTCAGTGTGCTTCTTAGTGCACTGGTTTTTTTTTGTAAAATTATAATCAGGATGAGGTATAAATGATGCTTATGTACTCACTCGAACATTGTTCTCTGTTGAAGTATCTAACATTTACTGAGGGCTTGATGTATGGCATATCCTTCACTAAACATTTTACACACAACTCACATTTTACACACAAAAACACTTATCAGTAGGTAGCATTCTCTTTTTACAGGTGAGGAAACTGAGGGTTAGTATGATTAAGTAACTTCGCCAGGGTCATAACATGTGACTGACATCAGAGGCAAGATTCAAACTCAGGCTTGTCGGACTTTGTGGTTACATTAGATATTTCAGACTTCATGTTTAAATTAGATATTTATAAGTGGATACCCTGTGTCTTCCCTGGTAGCTCAGATGGTAAAAAAATTGCCTGCAGTGCAGAAGACCTGGGTTTGGTCCCTGGGTGGGCAAGATCCCATGGAGGAGGAAATTGTTAACCACTCCAGTATTCTTACCTGGAGAATTCCATGGACAGAGGAGTCTGGCGGACTGTAGTCCATGGAGTCACAAAGAGTTGGACACAACTGAGCAACTTTCACTTTCACCTTGTATCCAATGTTGAGATAACTGAATTTTTGTCACTCCATTTATAAGATGAATCATTTACATAATTGGCAAAGTTTCACTTTGCATTTGTTTTATGATACTGTTAGCCATGAAATGAAAGTGACTTTTAATACTTCTCATGCCTAATTTTGCAAAATTCCAAATTAGAAGTCTGAAAATTTCAAATTAATGTAAACTTAACTTGAAACAAGGCTGGAAAAAGCAGCGGGAGGATTACAGAAGATTTCATGATAAAATGATAAAGTGAAGATAGCAAAAAGCTTGGAAGCAACTTCTGTTTGCTAAATGAGTTATTACAGGTTATTTCTTCAATTAAAAAAAATGTGGTTGGGTTTTTATCTGATTATAAAAGAAATTTTCTTTTTGTAGGAGACTTGGAAAATATGGCTAAGCATAAAGAACATAAAAATTTTAAAAATCTTTAGATTTTATCACTCATTGTTAATAACACTGAAGACATTGTGTACTTGTTTTTTTATTATGTTAATATGAACAGATTTGTTACTGAAATACCAACCAGCAAATAGTGTTAACTCTTACATCTCTTTTAAAAATGCTTGTTGCTTTCCCCTAATGGTATCATATATGATGTTATATGCTCAGAATGTTTCATACTTGTAGTAAAAACCCTGAATTGTTAAAAAATTGATTATTTGCCAGATTTTGACCCTTCGTATTGTTTGTTGTGTATTGAAGTGTTCAGTATATTAAATCTTATTTTTGCAAAACCAACAGGTTTATTATCATTCTCATAATACAGGCATGCCTTGATTTTATTGTGTTTCACTTTATTGAGCTCTGTAGATAATGATTTTTTTTTTTAAACAAATTGAGGGTTTGTGGCAACCCCACACTAAGTCTGTAGGTGCTGTTTTTCCAAAAACACTTGCTCACTTGCATGTCTCTCTGTCACATCTTAGCAGTTCTTTCCATATTTCAAACTTTCTCATTATTACTGTATTTGTTATAGTGATCTGTGATTTACTACTGTTACAGTTGTTTTGGGGCACCATGAACTGTGCCCACAAAGAGAGCAAACTTATCAATGTGTTTTCTGACTGCCCCACTCCCTGCTGTTGCCATTTCTTTTTTTTCTCCTCAGGGCCTCGCTATTCCCTAAGACATTATAATATTGAAATTAGGCTGTTTAATAACCCTCTAATGATCTCTTTTAAGTGTTCAAGTGAAAGAATAGTTGCCTGTCTCTCACTTTAAATCACAAGTTAGAAATGATTCAGCTTAGTGAGGAAAGTATGTTGAAATCCAAGATAGGCTGAAAACTAGGCCTTTTGCTCCAGTATAGCCAAGGTGTGAATGCACAGATAAAGTTCTTGAAGAAGAAAGTGCTGCTGCAGTGAACATACAGATGATAAGAAAGAGAAGCAGCTGTATTGCTAATAGAGTCTTAGTGGTCTGGAGAGATCAGACCAGGCCCACACTCTCTGAAGCCAAACCCAGAGCATGGCTCTCACTCTTTTCACTTCTGTGAAGGCTGAAAGAATGGAGGAAGCTGTAGAGGAAACGTTTAAAGCTAGCAGAGCTTGGTTCATGAGTTATAAGGAAAGAAGTTGTCTCTTTAACGGCGAAGAGCAAAGTGAAGTAGCCAGATATCCAGAAAATCCAGCTGAGATAATTTTTGAAGGTGGTCACACTGAAGAGCAGATTTTCAATATCCACGAAACAGCCTTATATTGGCAGAAAATGCCAACTAGGATTTTAATAGCTAGAGAGGAGAAGTCAGTGCTTGACTTCAAAGCTTCAAAGGACAGGCTGACTTGTGTTAGGGGCTAATGTACCTGGTCATTTTAAGTTGAAGCTGTTGCTCATTTGCCATTCTGAAAATCCTAGGGCTCTTAGGAATTATGCTAATTCTACTCTGCCTGTGCTCTGTAAATGGAACAAGGCCTAGATGACAGCTCATCTGTTTACAACATGATTTATTGAATATTTTAAACCCACTGCTGAGGCCTACTGCTCAGGAAAAAGAAGATTCCTTTCAAAATATTACTGCTCATTGACAATGTACCTGATAACCGAAGAGTTCTGATGGAGATGTGCAATGAGATGAATGTTTTCATACCTGCTGACAAACAAAATCCATTCTGTAGCCAGTGGATCAAAAAGTACCAATAATTTTGACTTGGAAAGTCAAAGTCTTATTATTTAAGAAGAAATTTCTTAAGCCTATAGCTGCCACTTGTTGTTGTTGTTGTTGTTCAGTTGTAAAGGCATGTCTTACTCTTTGCAGCCCCATGGACTGCAGCATGTCAGACTCCCCTGTCCTTCACTGTCTCCTGGAGTTTGCCCTCATTCATGTCCATTGAGTTGGTGATGCTATCTAATCATCTCATTCTCTGTCACTTCAGCAAGCTGCCATGGAGATAATTATTCCTTTGATGGATCTGGACAAAGCAATTTGAAGACATTATGGAAAGGGTTCACCATTGTAGATGCCATTAAGAATATTTGTGATACTAGAACAACATTGTAAATCAACCATCATTCAGTTAAAAGAAATAAAAATTTTAAAAGAGAACATTTATGATTCACAGGAAGAGGTAAAAACATCAACGTCAACAGGAATTTAGAAAAAAGAGTTTGATTCCAACCCTTGTTGACTTTGAGGGCTCTAAGACTTCAGTGGAGGAAGTAATTGCAGATGTGGTATAAACAGCAAAAAGCCTCGATTTAGAAGTGGAGCCTGAAGATATGACTGAATTTTGTAATTTCATGGTAAAATATTAACAAATGAGTTGCTTTTTAGGGGTGAGCAAAGAAAGTTTCTTGAGACAAGATATACTCCTAGTGAAGATGTTATGAA